ATTATTATATTTATTTATTTTTAAGTGATATGTTGTCTGATTTTTTCCATCGTTTTACCCCGAATTTTTGATGCTACACAGATAAAAATATATAAATAATTTATATAAATTATTATCATTTAACTACCATCTTGCACTAACTTTCTGACTCACATGAAAATATTGTGAATAATTCTAATGAAAAAATAAATAAAAATGTGTTGAGCTAAAATAAAATCAGCTCACACCAAATTAAATAAAAACAAATTCAAATAAAACAGCATAAAACTAATTAAAAACACAATAAAATAAGTTAAAATCTTTTTTAGTGAGAGTTATCTTTCTTTCTTCTTTCACCATTTTTTGAAAACAATTATATAACTGATGGCGCACCAAAGACTAGTTCATATATAAAGAACAATAAGTGCATAGGAAGAAACAAGGAGTCAGAGAGAGATGCGTAGGAAGGAACAAAGAAAGATAAAAAGGGTGGAGAACTAATTAAAAAAAAAAAGGATAAAAAAGAGAAGGAAAGAAATAGCCTAAGGAAGCCTGAAGCCACCTTAGACATTTTCTATATGCTATCTAAAAAGAGTAAATTACGCTATTACATCTCAAACTATTGGTTTTTACATAATGCACTTTGCAATTTTAATTTTGATAAACTACACTCTAAACTTTAAAATCAGTTACAATTAGAGTCTAATATTAAAAAAACAAAGGATAAAAAAGAGAAGGAAAGAAATAGCGCAAGGAAGCCTGAAGCCACCTCTTTAGACATTTTCTATATGCTATCTAAAAAGAGTAAATTACGCTATTACATCTCAAACTATTGGTTTTTACATAATGCACTTTGCAATTTTAATTTTGATAAACTACACTCTAAACTTTAAAATCAGTTACAATTAGAGTCTAATAGCTAATAAATTATTAAATTGACCGTACACAAGATTCACAAATAAAAGATAAAGATTGTCATTTTTTAAATCATGTCACAAGCAAATCGCGTGTCTCGAACTGTCAATTTGATAACGTTATCGGCTAATGGACTTCAGGCAACTGATTTTAAAACTTGTAGTGCAATTTGTTAAAATTAAAAGCTCGGGATTCATTATTCCAAAAACTCAGGGCTTGTTCTTTTGAGTGAAAAATTAAAAAAAAAACAACTCGAGTTACAACTTTATTCGAGTTCATGTTCTTTTAAGTTTAAACTCGAGTTTATGACTAAAACTCGAGTTCAAGTTTCCCCTTCAACTCGTGTTCAGAAACTTGAACTCAAATTAATAAACAATATTTTTTATATTCTTAAAAATGCTATAACTTTTTCGTCATAATTCTGATTGAGATGATTTTTTTCTATGCGTTGACAACGAAAAGACAAATAAAACCCGACCCATATACCATATTATAATTTTTCATCAGCATTGAGTTTTTATTAAAATACTATTTAAATACAAATTTAAGTTTTGACTCACTCAAACACAAACTCAAAAAGATTCTTATCTCAAACCATAACTCAAATGTACACAACCAAACACAAATTCAAGTTACAAATTCAACTCAAGTTATAACTCAAATTCAACTCAAAAATTATACTCAAGTTAAACTTTAAAAGAATAAGCCCTGAGTAATTTAAGAACAATGTAATTTACCCATCTAAAAATTATATTCACTAGTTTCTCTTCCCCAAATGCCTAAATCTGCATTTCACCCCTTACTTTATGTTTTCAAACATATGTGACTATGAGAAGTCATCGATAAATAATAAACTAATAAGCTGTGATGAGCAACAAGATGTGGAACTAATTTAAACGAGAGAGAGTGGTTCATCTCCAGTTGGCAATATTAGTTTCTAAACTGTGGGAGTTGTACTTTTACTAGTCTATCTTTCGATACTATTCGTATTATTTTTGTGACATTTAATAGGTAGCAAGTATATTCCTAACCTATTTATTTTATTATGCATTGCACTCTATAGTTATTACAATTTCTACTTTAATAGTTGCTCCCACTCATTTAACTATTTATTATTAATTTGTGCTTACACTGGTCCATTTATCCAGTCAATTATGCTTTATTTTTGTAGCTTTTTAATTATATTCTCCTCATTTCTATTATTACCAATTCTTCACCACTTATTATTTCCATTGAGATTATTTATGTTGTATTTAATCATTTGCTCTATATTAAAGCCAAACAACATAAAATTCACATATATAAGGCATAAATGATATTAATATTCTAGTTGTTTCTAACATGACACTTTTCATGTAGGGGTGGCAATTTGTGTCACATGTCGTGTTTGTGTTGTGTTTTGATCGTTTCTTTCTAAATTTACAGTCAATCCGAACACGACCCGTGACACGAAATTTTTTAAAAACCGCAACACGAACACGACACAATTACTTTACGGGTTGACACAACACGACACGAAAATTACCCGTGATACGAAATTGACCCGTGAACCCGAAATTAACACGAAAATTGTATACTTTTATTTAGTTTTTTACATTTTAGAAATAACTTAAAATTCATAACACACTAAAATACAATAATATCCATTGAAATTAAGCAAATAATAGTATAAGATTTTGAGTATAAGTATCATGATATCACAAGTTTATAATAAAATAAAAAATATGTAATGAAAAATATATGTATTTTTTAGTTTTTTACGAGTTTCATGTTGTGTTCGGGTTAGGCGGGTCTAACCCGAAATTGACCCGTGTTTTTCGCGTCAATTTCAGGTCGACCTAATTCTGACCCAAACATCTTTTTTCTCAACCCTAACTCACAAAATTCGTGTTGTTTTTGAGTCGTGTTGTTGTGTGTGACCTATATGACAACAACTTCCCCTAAGGTATGTGTAAGTAAATTATATTTTTGTGTAACTAACTTTTAAGTACATTTCTATTTATTTGTATTTACGCTTTTATTTTATTTATTTATTTGTAGTTTAATGGAAAAGACAAATATACAAAGGAAGACATTGATGAAATTCGAGCGGAATGTGGAGAATGCATCCATCTATATGTGTTTGGATAATTATCTGTTATTTGTTTTGTTAGATTTGTTAACTATTATGTCATATCTTATTAATAGTTGGATATGTGCATTAGATTTAGTTACTGATGTTGTTTGCTATGTAGTTGGATATGTGCTTTGTTGATAACCAAGATTAGTATTTTTTTTAATTAATATTTTTGTGTATTAATGCTCTTCTTTTAAAAATTGAACAATTGAATATATGTGGAACCAATAAAAATATCAAGTTGTGATATAAACTATTTAAAAACGGAAAAGATAGACTGTTATTAATAATCAATATTTAAAATCGGTCATAAAGCGTTTTCTTTAATGATTATTAACATCGGTTCTAGGGCAATGTTAAAGAACATCTTTAACACCGGTTTTTGGTCGTTATTAAAAATATTCATTTTTAATAACACCTTCTTTGACGTCAGTACGAAAACTGTTGTTAAAAATTTTTTAACAACGGTTTTTAATTGATGTTAAAAATAGTTTTTATAGTAGTACGAGAATTCTATGTGAGTGTTTCAATAGAAATAAAATGAGAAAAGAATAACAAGCAGATTTTTAAAGTAAATTATTCTAAAAGGGAAAAAATAGATCTGGGCTGTGAGGCACAATCTAGTTTTTTAGTTTAGGTCTATTTTTTTTTCAATTGTTTTTTTTTTTTTTCAAAAAATTTTCTGTTATTTTTCCCTTTCATGTCATCATGTCCAATTTTGTTTAAAAAATGATAGTTTATTAACATAGGAGCCAAAACCACACATTTCAAAAACGATATGAGGATCATGTTTGGAGTTGGTTTTGTTTATTGTTTCTCACGTTTTTTGAGAAAGAAAAATGAAAACAATAGAGAAACTATGTTTGACATAATTAAAAATAAAAAAAAGAAATGAAAATAATTTTTTGGTTTAGTGTAAAATAAGAGAGAAATGAAAAATGACTTTTAGTCGTTTTTCATATTTTGTTTCCGTTTTCTCCTCTCTCGAGCAGAGAGAGAGGGAAAGACATTAATGGATTTTTTTTATACTGAAAATAAACTCTTAATAAAACTACCAAACGCATTTTTAAAAATGATTTCTGTCTGAAATTGAAAATATTTTCATTTCTATTTTCATACAAAAAATAAAATTAGTTTATAACGAGTTCTAAACGTACTCAAGACTTCTAAAAGTGAATGTCAATGGTCAAAATAGGACATATGCCTATCTTTAGAGACTAATAGTGAAAAATCTGGCTCTTCATGCTGACATTCCTTATTTTTTACTTAAATTACAAAGGCATCTCCTTAATCGAAGCATTCTATGTCAACATCTACTAATTGTTATAATGTTAGGGTTAAGACATTTACTTTGGAAAAAAAATGCTAAGAATTGAAGCACAATTAGATTGATGAGTGAGATTTGTTTCTGTTAAAGGCTTAATTGTCTCTGTATTTTCTGCCAAAACACAATGGGTGTCGTTGTAGTTTTCCCTAATACAAGTACATGTAGCCGTATGTAGATGCTACGTAAGAGAGAGCAACCACCACTTGCTGAGCAAGTAATAGGAGCTGGTAATACCATTAAAATTCAAAGAGAAAATTGTTGAAATTACCCTTAAAGTATTTGGTCTTAGATTTTTATCATTTAGAAGACGTTTGGTTTATGGATTAGAATCATGTGATTAAAATCATTTTCGATTTACGTATATTTTTTGTGAGAGAAAACACTGTAATGAACCATGAACTATGATTCAAATCATGGTTTGAATCCTCTAACCAAACGTCCCCTTACTCTTGATTAATACTCTTTTAAAGAGAAATAGGTAAAATTCTAGACTCATGCACTCTAAGGATATTTGTCTCCTTTTCCTATATTCAAACCAAACGGATAATTTAGATTAAGTGATTTGTAAGCTGATTTGTTGCAAGTGATGCATAATTTAAATTATATCGACCAAAAAAACAGAATTGAAACATGTGAAATCCAAAACATTGAGAGAGAGAGAAAGGGCAAAAAAATAAATGAAAATGGATGGTTTGTTTAGCCTTCATATTCAACGATCTTGACCACCGAAGAATCTCCTACTTTTTGGAAGATCACCACCTGGTCATTAGGTTTGAGCAATCCCAGAGATTTACCATGAGCAAAGGCCATTTTCAAGCCTGATTCTTCACTAGATTCACCAGAAGTAGCCTGCACAAGAGTTAACAAAAGTTTAATTAGTACAACATTTATATACTATATGTTTTCCTTACCAAATTAAAAATGAACATAATGTCGGACCAAGATAGACGAGATAGAATTTAGAGAGAAATATATCCAAATTCTAAATAATCCTACGAGATAAAACATAATCTTAAATTCTAAATTAAATGCTAGAGATAAAGCATATCCTAATAGATAACCGTACATGTACTTCACCAGAACAATTGATGTAAAAAAGCAATGGAAGATAATTATCTTTGTCCACTAATCATGCTCTTCAAGTATCAGCAAAGGAAGATAACAGTGTTTGGTTGGACAGAGAGAAAGCTGTGTATCATTGTGCTTGATGAGTTAATTGCATATCAACATTTCACAAGCCAATTCAAATTTTACTATTGATAAAATAAATAAATATACATACATATATATATATATATATATTATGTGTATATATATCTTATGGGACACACTGAGAACCAAGCATTTCTCTGCTTACCACAATAGGTCTAGCCAAGAATGGATAAACTCCTCTTACACCAAGCAACTGCCTAACCTGCAGCATTATAGGAACCGCTCAATCGCGCCGAGAAATTCAGTTGTTTACAGCAATGGAAGGTGCTTGATTGTCCCCTTATGCTTTGTATTAGCCAAACAAAATAAGGAAAGATGGTGTACCTGTGATGAGCTAGTGAAAGTCCATTTCAGCGACTTTGTTCGGAGAAGATTGCTGACAACAGCAAACACAGGCATTGTTGGCCTGTACTTGGCAACCAACCTATAAAAACAAACTTTCTACTCTTAGCAACTTCCTGATTCCTTCATATATTTTAGGGCTTTTGGCACTGTTATCCCTTGAACTATTAACATTATGACAGTTTGGTACCTAAATTTATTTATTTATTTTCGCTAATCAATCTCTGAACTTACTTTTTGGCAGTTTTGGTACTTGACTTTAATGGTATTTCAAAATATAATGCACGTAATCACATACTTATCACATGATAACTTTAAATTTTACTGAATAATCACACAAGGAGCAAAATTGGCTAAAATAAAGTTAATGAACCAAATTGCCACTGCTCAAAAATTTCTGGACCGATAGTGCGAAAAGTTACGTGTTTTCACAAAAATGTAGAAGAGCACCTTGCTGCTCCACCAGAGGAAGTGAAAACTACAATGATTGCAGCCCTGACCTTAATAGCAGCACGTACCTTTAAAAGCACAGACAATTTGTTAAGTCAGCGTTTGTTTGGAAAGAAATGGAATTGTGAAAAACATGAGAACTTTTTCATACTGCTGATGAAGCAACAGACTCAGCGTGCGACATCGGTTCTCCGAGATACTTAAGTGCTCTCTTGAAGTGAAGGGCCTGATTATAAACACTTTCAGCCTACAACATGAGAACAATGCATTTTGCGTGAGCAAACTCTCATAATAGTCTTGAAAGGCAGTGCTCTATGCTCAAATAAATCAGTAGAAATGGTGAGGTACCTACTTAATATGCTAAGATAAATTTCTTTTTAGTATTATAAGGATATAAGGACCCAGATCTCTAGTACACTGTTTGGTGTCCAAAATGACGTCTAACCAATAACATTATATCACTTTATTTAGTGGACTCGAATACTAAAGCGTGAAAAAGTTAGTTAAAAACTATTTAAAAGTTTTTAAATGACTTGACATAATGTGATTGGTAAGACACCATTTGGGAACACCAAAATTGGATAGGGATCTGAGTCCGTATTATAAAGCTAAATTTCTGGAGTTGGAATTTTATTTACTTCAGCACACATTCTTCCAACAGTTTTGATTGCCTCAACGGGATATAGGCCTCGTAGCGTCTCTGCTCCTAAAAGGATGCCATCAGTACCTGATAGCAAACGCAAAAGGAAGACATTGTTTCTGAAATAAGGGTAAGAAAACTGGGAGAGAAACATTAAAAGGCTGAAACTTTACAAACCATCCAGAACAGCATTAGCAACATCAGTTGCTTCTGCACGAGTTGGCCGTAGATTTTCTGTCATACTGTCAACGACCCGAGTAACTATGGCAGGCTTTCCGACCATATTGCACTTATGTAGGGCAGACTTCTGGAACAAAAAAACCTGCATAAAGAGATACCAGAAAATGCAGACAGAGAGATCATTGCCTCTAAGATCTCCGAAAACTTTCTATCCTTCATGACTCAAACAAGAATAAAACGCATCCATGAAGCATAGCATAAAGGTATGCAAAAGAAATTTTTATTTGTCTTCCATTATTGTTTTATCCTTCCAAATTTCAATACAGTTCGGCATTCTATCAAATTTCCTCCACTAAATAACAGAACTTTTATCTTGTAAACAACGAGAATTCAGTGTTAAGTCCATCGGAATCCTTGACAAAGAGATGAAGTTAAGAGGGATTAGTGCAATATATAGGCTCCTGACCTTTTCTGGTGGCAAGTCAATTCCCAAATTCCCACGACAAAGGATAACACCATCCGCTTCATGGAGAATCTCATCGAATTGTTTCAGTCCCTGCATAGATATAGACCAAAGAAACAGACCAATAAGCTCATAGTGTAAACTGATTTGCCTACAGAAGAGGAAATTGATAGTGAAATAAACAAACATGACTAGTAGTGTATAAATAAAGAGAAGAGCACTAAATTACTAATTACCTGAAAAAAGAAGTTAAAATTCATGTCAATTTAATAACTTACCTCTACTGTTTCAATTTTGGCAAATATTTGAGTTTCATGCAACTTTTGTGCTTTAAGGAAGGCCCTAAGCTGCATAAGAGAGTAAAGATGGAAAATTACAATGAATGGCTTGATGCTACACATCTGCAAACTATACCATTCGCAAAAATAGATAAAAACAATTTTGTTAAGAAAAAGCATACATACACACTTTATGTTTTCATCATTAGCTGAATATGATCCGTCGTTGAAAACAAGCAACAATAACAGTAAAATTAGAAACATAAAACTGACCTCTTGCACATCTCCTACATGGCGGGTATGTGAAAGAGCTATAATGTCAATATTGTTATGAGAACCCCAGCTTGAAATAATCTATCACAAGTTCGGAGTTGGAAGAAAGAAAATTTAGTTAGAAATTTAATGCTAAACATATAGCAAATCAGCCAATTAGGATACTTCATAAGACACAGTTCAGCTGTAACTCTATAACAAATTTGTTTCCCAAATACGAAAGGAAGGCTTATGAAAATGCAATTTGACATTAATTTGTAATACTCAACATTTATGTTATAACATACTACCTCCTAGGGGCACCAAACCAAAATTAAAAACCAAGTCATGAAACCTTTTTGTTTGTTTTTTTTTTTTTTTTTTTTTGAATAAGTCATGAAACTTATTAGATTCCTCTGGCAATTGAGATGAGCAATTGAAGAGACAAACGGGGTGTTTACTTTGCATGAAAGAGAAAGAGAAAAGGAAAAGCGTTTCTCTTTCATATCTAGTCACGTATTCACTTACAAAATCTATAGAGAATGGGGAAACAGAAAGGCAATCCTGTTCCCCCAGTATTGATTTCTGGTTAATTTACTTGTGTGACATTTATAAGTTCATACATTATAAAGTAATGATTATTTAGTTATGTCGAGGGTGTTTTAGTAATTAAATTGACAAGAAGTATATTTTAAGTTTAATAGATATTAGAAACCGAATTGGATTATTTTCCACTCCACTTTCTATTAAAAAGTAAACACTTGAAAAGAAATCAAGAATTCCATTTTAATTTATTTACTTTCTTTTCCAAACCCATTATTTTTCCCATTACATTCGTTACAGTTTAGTAAACACGCCATAAAAGGAATTGTCAAAAGCACAATAAAGCCGCATATCCGATTACGTAATAAACTATTATTGCCTTCTTATCGCTTATTCAAAAATAGAAAAATAATAATAAAAGTAAACAAAAAAAACAACTATTACCTTCTTATCATAGTCAGTTAAAGTGGGTAATTCGATACGGACATGGGCAACATGTACGGTGAACATAAAGCCTGCAAGTGTGGCACTGTTTTTAACCAGACAAATAACATCTTGACCTCTTGTCTCCAAAACCTATATATCAAGAAGAGAAATAGATTACAGTAAGAATCTGCTTCGTAATATATTAAGGTATTAGTATATTGAACAAATTAGTGCAGTGATTTGTAACTTTTACCTCAAGCCACACAGAGGTGGTTTCACTTCCGGTGAAGAGATACTGACCAAGAAAAATGGTGTCTCCCTTCTTTACAATCTTCAATCCATTGAAAAAACATGTAGAATGTATCATACATATTTTGTTTATACGTATACTTGTACGAATGTATCATACTAAGGTCCAACATGTATTGTCTACATAAACGAAAAACGTCCCTAAGTTGCCAAAAAAAATTTACCCCTTCTCAAAACATGTGCACAAAATTTTCATTTTTATTCATGTCGGTTTTTCAGTAAAGGCAAAGATGCTCAGTTTATTCATTGTAAAACTCTTACAAATCAAGAGACAGAAAACCAGTAAGAAAAATCTGTGACATTTTTCACAAAGTACTCAAAATGGGCATTCGTCACAATTTCCCCATTAGGGTGTATCTGTGAATATTTATGTGCATCAAGTACGTATGTATGTTACCATGTACTTTTTTTTTTCTCAACAAAGGGGATGATTGGTGCCATTCTATTTCCTGTCTCCTTCATCACAAGCTCAAAGGATGGCTCAATTTCTCTCACCACCACACAGTACATTGACCAGGCAAAGTCCTTGAAGTGGGGCTTAAGAGTATCGAACCTTGAACTCATCCCGATAGGAGAAGAAGGAAAGACATCCTAATCATGTTAGCATGTACTTGTTAGCGAACTTATAGGCATATACAAAGATTCATTCGAAATTCCCACCTCAGCAAGTCTGTCATAATTAACAGCCAACATCTCTGCTGATGGTTCTATATCAACGTCTGAAGTGATGGTCACATGGTCATCGGCCTTCAGTTCTATTGGCTTGGCACCCTTATTACAAACTTGAATTTCTGGGCCAACAGTGTCTAGCATAACCTGAAAGTTACCAAATTTTGGGAGTGAAATCTTCGAGAAAATGCTTTGTATTTTAAACATTGATACATAAAAATGAAAAACTCCATATTGACATTAGTATTAATGGTGTCAAATCACTAGAACAAACCCAGAAGTTGAAGGAAATTCATCTCATAATATTCATATGGCTGAGAAAATCTGTATGACCGAAGGATTAACACTCAAACTAATTAATCACTTACAGCACAAAGCTTCTTTGTGTTTCTAATAGCTGTCCTCAAATTATCAATCGTTTCCTGGTGGTAGTCTCCATCGAACCCCGAAAAATCGAAGCGTGCAACTGCAAAAATATGAAAACGGGGGAAAAAAGGAACTGATTGAATGAAGTAGACAGGAACCAGGCTCAGCAAACAAGAAGGCTAAGGATCACGTATTAGAGATTATTACCTGACATTCCTTTAATTAGACATGCCTCAATTATTTCAATGGAGCGCGATTTCGGTCCAAGCGTGCCGACTATTTTGGTCAGTGATGGTATAAGGCTCTGCACCATAGATCACAGATTCAAACGAAGATTAGAAGGCAATGAATTTTGAAAATCTCATTAAGGAATGAAAGAAGCATGTTAAGGAAGAAAGCAAAGCTATAATTACGTTTAATCCGATTGAATGACCATTAGAACAAAATCAAAATTCCTAGAATCCGATCGTTTTCATGATTACTTGAGCAAAAAGACTTGCCTTATATTTACATTCCCAAAATGGATAGTGGAATGATTTTTCCAATTCAAAACTGATATTAATTAAAATTTTCTCTCTGTAAATTACCCTTCCAAATGTCTTAATATGTGATTACATTCCATTCCAATGACTGAATTTGTGATTCTAATTTAATTCTAGTGTTCAACAATACAATTGGAATAAACCATTCAATCTATTCCCACTCTAATTCCGTTACACTTTCATTTTTATTCCATTCCATCAAACCGAACACCATCTAAATTCTCCATGTCATGATATAGAAGAAGAAGAAGAAGAAGGAACAAAAACAAAGGAATTAGACTCTAGAGAGAGAGAGAGATTACTAGTTTAGAGGAAGTTAGAACTGAAGAGAGCCTGATAGGCTCCTCAACCACCATTTGACCTCCTTGCATTGAGATCTTTTTATGAGAGAGAGAGAGAGAGAAGTTACTACTTAGTTGGGGGAACAAAATATTTTGGTGTATTTTGGCGGGGAAGCAAATTGGACGGGTATGCCACTATGCCATGCCTACTTTTATAGGAAGAACTTGTACGGATATTGGTAAGTGAAATTACAAAAGAACCCTTCTTCATTAACTAACTATCAGACTTTTTTTTTTTTTTGAAATAATTATGAGATTAGGCCCGTTTAGTTCGCTGATTCGAGTTTTTAATTCGAGTTGATATGTGATTTTATGTGAGTGCTTTTTATTGTAGCAAAAAAGTTAGATGTGATTGTTTCTGAGAGCTTTTTACTGTAGCAAAACTCGAATTTTAAACTCGAATTAACGAAATGAACAGGGCAGGTTTTCATTATTTATTAGATTTGGTTTTCGTTGTCCAATTTTTTTTATATAGTTTTTGGATGATGTTTAAGTCTTATTTAATGTATGGGTTTTTTTGCTTGAAAAGGTTAGTGAAATGGCTGGCTCTTCATCAACTTCTGCTCTCTGAAGGCTTCAAAAGGTGTGACTTAGAGAATTGATATATAACCGTTTGCTGTAATAACATGTGAAGAAACACATAAATGTGTTTGCCTTAATTTTTTCTTTTTATTATTTTTGTTTCAGTTTATTCATTTTACTTTGTTTTGTGTTCCATTGGTGCTACATATGGACGTGTAGGTTTATTTATTTATTTGTGATTTTTTTTTGATAAAATATTTATGATATGTTATGATATCTTTAACTAGTTAATATTGTGAAAAGGCAAAGAGGGCTTTCAAGTGGTGTAGAGTATCATCGTACTATGCTTTGCAATTTTTTTAAGAAAAAAAAATTATGGAATTTATGCATGCGACTGACACTGAAAGAAAATGGCGTGACAAGGATTTATACAATGTCAATGAATCATTCATGATTAATCAAGCTAATTTCTATTAATGCTTACAGAACTAAAAGTGAAGTCGCGTAACGTTTTTTTATTTTTTTTATTTATTTTTTTGCTCAGATTTTTTTTTTTTTAATAACATAGTCCTAAAGAAATTTTTCGACTTTAGCCTTGAAAATTCATAAAAGGAGACAGATTTGGTTTAACGAACGGATTAAGATATATATATATATAAGCAAATATTAATGGGTCCCGTTTTCATAATCAATTCAACAGCCACCCAACTACTTGTTGGGGCCAACACGGCAACACCTTTCCCGGAATTCCATCTTTAAGCGCACACATTTCTTATGTTTTTCCTCGTCTTGATATTGTTTCAATCAAATGAACTAAATCTGTCTTTTTTTTTTTTCGTTTTCTGTTTTTCTTGGAAATAAAAACATATCAACAGCCTGTTTTCCACGGAGAGAGAGAGAGAGAGACTTCGTCACTTCAAAGCTGGGCTATCCTCGTGTCCATCTAACTAATAATTGAATGCCATTCTCAAATAAGTCAGAGAACCTGCTAAACCCTTTATTCAAACACTCGTTCACCAAAAGGCATTAAATCTTGACCCCTTTTTTTTTTTTTAAGAAAAGCATCACATATTGACTTTTGATACATCAAATATAATGTCTAAATACCTGAAAAGTAACACCTATTTCCTCAGCATTCATTAAAAAAAAAAAAAAAAAAAAAAAAAAAAAAAAAAAAAAAAAAAAGGAGAAAACAGGTTTACAGTCCAGTCTGCTGAACTATGGAATTTAGATTTTAACCCTTTAAGCGCTTTAGGGGACTTTTAGCCCAGACGAAATATATACATGTCAAATATATTCATAGTGGACTTGTAAAGTTAGTGTTCTATAAAAGCGAAACAACCTTTTTTTTTTGTCACACGTCGTATGCTTATACATGAATTCACAATTTGGTTAGGCCCTTACAAGGAAGCACATTACATTACACACATAGTCGTAACACAAAATACCTGCTTCCACTTGGAAAGAATTAAAAGAACATCTTCTGAAGAATTTGTACTAAACTACCTGCATAAATCATAGAAAACCGGGTAAAATGGCAAGGAGAAATAATTCCTATCCTTGAAGCATGACAGTAGTTATATAACGGTATCATAAACACAGGCAAGAAGGTTTCAAAAAAATGTGTCGTAAAAAAAACAAGTCAAGGTCTAGTTTCTCATTCCTAGAACCAGATTTATGATCTGAGAAAGAAACAGAATCTGAAAACTAAAACGGGCATAACAACAAACTAATAAGTGTTTTCCTTTTACTTCCTCAGGAGTAAATTACAAGATAGTCTTTAGATCATGCTCATTCTATGTATGTAACAATCTTATAGTTCCAGCCTCTCAAGAGAAAAGAGAAGGAAAAAGTTAAGAGTGAATTAAAGCAAATCAAAACCACTGGCCGCTTTCAGTAATGCAGTACCTAGCCGTGCCAAAAGATAAGATACTTTACCTTCGATTTGCCCCCGTATTTCTTCAGGTGGATGCCAAAAGGTTGCTCTTTTGAGCTTTTAAGTTGCTTTTCTTAGCTCTCGATTTGGAGGTCCCCGTAAAGGCATTCCCTTTAATGGACATAGAATATTTGCCTTCAAGAACAGAATGATATGGTGCTTAACTATCTCTTGAACTAACTTCTGGTGATTGATCTTCAACATCTTCTTGTTCTGCCTCCTCCGTTAACTCGCTAGAAGCACCAGAGCATTCATCAGAGTCAACGTGTCCAGAATTTGGTACGTCATTCTCAGACGGACTCGCTCCTTCACATGAAGGATCGATGACTTCACCTTCTGCATGTAATTTAAAAGGAAAATAGTAAAAAGTTAGACTAATTGAATAGAAAATCATGGCGCATATACATTTTCTTTTGCTTTTTCTTTTTCTTTTTGTAAGGATAGAAGCTTCCTAGAAGCGTCTTTAATCTAAAAAAGTCCCATCATGGAATTTTAAGTTTCCAAATTAAAGCTCAAGTGAGTCAAACAGAGGAAACAGATAAGCGTCAAGAATTAGACAATAACAGAACTGCAAGTTTATTGCATTGACCTTCAGTAGCATCAGATTCTGCTTTATCTTCTTTAGAATTCTGAGTCACAGCAAAATCTTCCGTGCCACCAATCTTTTGTTGATGAATCTGGGCATTCCGTGCTGTCACTTCTTGCTCCTTCTTTTCCATATGGAACTTGTTAAGCTTGTCCTCAAACTCCTCAATGCATACTTTGAGTTCCGGCTTCGCAAACTTCTTGCTCTGTTTAAGTTTGGACTTTAATATAAGCAAATGGAAGAAAAGAAAACCTTAACCGATATACACTCAGAAAATAGAGCCACAGCTCAAAGCTTAATACCTTGTTTATTATGGCTTTAAAATGCTCCATCACAGAATCCTCTGACAAGACGCGTTCATATGTTTTGAATAACTCCATGAGCTTTTTGATTCCCTTTTCAGTGAATGCAAGCTGAGAGAGGCAGTAAGAAATATGTTCCCACTGTCTAATATCTGCAAATTTGAATTCACCATCTTAGAATCTAAAACTGCATTTGAATACTCATAGAAAAGGAAAATGGTTGAATGTTAAGATAACTTCATTTGCAAGACAAAGCTTTATAACTGTACGTACCTGTATCTCCACTAAACCTGTTACAAAGCTTCTCAACAAGAGCTTCCATTTGCTTGTCCTGGAACAATCAAGAATAATACTGTAAATTCACCGTTTATATAAATCCTTGTTAAATAAACTAAATTAATTAAATTGTACCTTCTTGATGGAACCTATTAAGAACTGCATGATGTTGCAGAAAGATTCTCTCTGTAGATTTTGGTTGGATAACTTGCCAAGTATATCTGGAAGCAAATTATATACTGGATTGCTTCCTATAGACAACAAGAAAAGAATTATATTATCACTTAAGACGCAATGTCGCAAGATTAGGAAAATACCAGCATCGGGACAATTATACTAGATGGGTGAAAAACACTACCTTTCTTAGATAGCTCATGGAAAAAGAGTCTAGCCAGATTTGAAATCCTCTCCTCGTCATCTTCTAACCTTACGGCCATTTCATATATGTAACCTTTCACCTGATTAAGCAATAGGCATTAGCCATAATCAGACCTCTAAATCAATACAAGAAAAAAAAAATAACAATTAGCCTTAGGCAGGTCTGCAAACCTTCATCATGTCATTTAGTATGAGATGTGAAAGCACCAAAACAGCATTCTTCCGAACAGATACTGACGGGTCTTGTAACCTGGAATACATGTTCTCTGTCCATGGTTCCAACAAGTTAGGAAATCGAACAGCCAAATCTCCAAGAGCAATGGTGCAATTAGAACGAACAATTTCTGATGGGGCACTCTCCACAACTGTGAAGAGAAGCTGGAGATTTGCTTTACTGGGAAATCCAAACGTTAGAAATCAGTGATCAGAGCATGGACTGGTAGTCTGGTAGAAAAATGTATATCTTATATGTTTTTTTATATGAATGTGTGTGTAGTGTCTTTAGACTAGAGAGAGCTCCTATGATCTCACCAAAAATTTGCATCAATTATCATAAATCGACATAAAGCAAGCATTCCAGACGCCTGTAGTACTGGATGCTGAAAGGAGGATAAACCGGTTGATTAGTTGAATAAAAAAAAAACATTTAATCATATTCTTCAACTTTATGAAGCGACTGATATTACACGATAAAAAATCATCAATGCATAATCATATACATATATCCGCATAAGGTTTTAGAAATAATATTCTTTCCTACTCTCGTAACTGCTTCAGATGATGCACTTACTTGATTACATAAATATTAAATGAAATAAACAGTGACCAAATCTCAAAATGATCTGTAAATCAAACTAGAGATAATATATATATATATATATATATATATATATATATTTCCATGCATTTTCGGAAGCACATAATGCATCTATTCGTTAGAGTATAATTTATGCGATCACCTTTTGCATCAAACTGAAATTTCTACAAAGCTTTGAGAGAAAAGGTGCACAATGCCCAATTAGATTTTTCTCCTCTAAACTCGCAGAAACAATTTCTTTTTCGGCTCGCTCAGAGAGCATATCTAGTATTGCATCTTCAGAGACAGCAAGGCCAAGCTCAGCACTGATACCATTTTCCTGCAAAATAGAAATAGAATAGTTCTAAATAACAGAGAAAATTATGACCAAGAAAAATGAAATACATACAAAAATAAATAAACACACACACACAGACACAAACTATAAAGGTTTTTATGATTCATCATAGTGAGGTATATATACAAGATTCCTTTTCACCTTTGGAGTTTCACCAGGCTTTGTGCCATTAACTTGCTCTGTCTGATCTTCAACTTCCTTCTCTTTGCCCACTTTCTGTTTCTGGATCTTTCTATGGCAGGATTCAATGTATACTAGTTGGTGCATTGCAACATGACTTACGACAAACAGATATCTACTAAGCTTTGCTACTTCAACCGTGGTAAGTACAGAAGCATTGCCACCATCAATCTCATTCTGCAAATCCTCCCCTCCACTATAATCAAACACAGAACTGAGAGATTTTTTCACCAGATCTGCAACTAGAGTTTCTGGAGTGGGGTGAATCGTATATATAGCAGCTATTGCTCTATCAGCAGCAGCATACCATATGTTTTCAGGTAGCCAACACCCAGTAACTAAATTTTGCAGAGTGGTAAATACTCTGCTACCGATACTAGACAACAACTTCTTTTTGTCCTCGTGAGACAATCTCTGAAGAGCAATGCAAGCTGTTCTAGCAAGCAAAGGATCTGTTTTAGCCCAACGACCAAACCCAATATCGATAATGTCTTGCAAGTGCAACCCAAGAATCTCAGGATGAGACTTTGCAGCCATGCAAAGTACAGACAACGCACCACGACTTTGCTCTGCAGTGGTTCCACTAACATTAAAGCAAAAGAAATCCCATAACACGGATATCTGCAAAAAGAATGCCTTAGTCTATATACAATGAATAATAGAGACAAAAGATATCAACTATAATGTATTAATCAAAGTAATTTTCTGTAGTAAGTATCTACATAAAACTGCAGCTACTTAAATATACAAAAATAGAACCAAACACATTTCAAAAATCAATGATATTAGCAGCCTCTCTATAGTCTAAATTTGTAGCTTTTAAATCCTTGAAAATCGTTATAAGGTTTTGACTAAAATATATGTTTTCTACTTCCCAGTTTAAAAGTATTCATTAGGATATAGGAATACAGCGTTCAATCAGTAAAAGAATCATAGTTTCAAGCCTCCAATCACAAGACATAACCCAATAAAAACAACATTTTCAGGGTAATAAACAAAGCCGTGGAAACATCTATATTTATCAATGATTACTCAACTTTTCCAGATAGTGTGACATAATCTTTCAAAAAAAAAAGAAACATGTGGGAACATGAGAAAGGGAGAGAATATTTCAAAGAAAAAAAAACAAAAGAAAAAAGCACGAACATGCGAAACACATTTTCTCAGCTATCAGAAAACATATAACATCGTATGTTTGACACAACATAACCAAAATGCAGATCACTATTCGTTTATAATTTTGAACAAAGATTTCTAGTTTGCATAAGCAAGTATTCATTTCTGTACTGTATTTGTGCAGAACACCATTACTTTAATGTCTACAAAGTATATCTCAGATCTTTTTTGCCCTTTTGCGAATAGCACATTGATTTAGTGTATCCAGTCTTAAAGGGTTGATTTTGGTACAATGAAACAGCCGAGATTCTGTGGGCCCTTTCACATATAAGTTAAGAGAAACTGTTCAATCTAAAGCCTTTAATAAATCAGCGCAAAGTCATGGTCACAACATCAGAAAAGGGACATACCGCAGCAGTGGTTATATCACCTTGGGATACCAACACACCAACTATAAACTCCAGAGCTGCAAGATCTCCTATATTAGATTCTATGGCAAGGTTCAGAAGATTCTTAGCAGTTTCTACTGCATTTTTCCTTATATAAATCGTAATAAATGCGTTCTCAACAGCTTCATATATGGATTTGTCCTGAGAAAATACCTACAGGAAAAAAAAATTAAAGAATAATTAAACTTGACATGTTCAGTACAAAACCCGAATACGCTTCTCAAGATTGATGATGCTGGGCAGATGAGCAGAGAAGCAAGAAAAACGAAAATTCTAACTTTTGTCTTTTCAAGTCTAAGGCATCATAGAAAAAGGGGAAATACTTTACCAGCGGCAACATTTTACGAAGACACGATTCCGAGCCATCAATTTGAAACTGTCTGCACCTCATCAACAATAGAATCGTATGCTCTACATCAGTCGCAGAAGAAGATGCCATCAATTGGACAAGGGTGGGCATGGCGGCAGCTATACACTTGGAAAACCTCAAGCCAGCCTCCAGAGATGCAACTAGGACTCTTGTCTGCTCCAAGTTCCCAACATCTGGCAAAGCACTATCCTTCTGAATAACATTTTCTTCCATATTGGACAGACAACTATCAGTCAAACTCTCCTGTTGCTTCGGGGTCACTCCAGAATTTGCATCATCAATCTCGCCATCTCCGTTGCTGGTATCACTTTCAAATGGCATCGCATCTGGAACACTTTCCGAAGTAATATCTGGTTCGAGCTCTTTCAGCTTCTTCTTGTACTGCTCTAAAGTTGCTTCAAAGGAAGCTATTCGAAGTTGTGGACCAAATGGGTTATGCTGCAACATCATTATAAGCAAATTTAGTGCAGATTTTCTGACTAGTGCACCCTTATCCTCCAACCTTCCAGCGGCAACTTTAGCAACCTCATTCCACAAGCCAATTGAAACAGAATGCTCTTCACAAAGTTCAGCCCAAACTTGAAGAACACGACTCCTAGTATAAGCCGAAACATCTCGACAGCGCTCAACTAGTATTTCCAACATTGCTTGCTTAGTTCGGAGATGAACAGATTTAGTACTCAAACCCTCAACATCCTTAAATGCCTTGGCAACCAACTTCCCCAAGACCGCAACAAGAGCATTCCTTATCTTGTAAGATTCTCCACCAAAATGCAGGACAAGGAGTCCAATGTTGGTAGATAGCAACTTCGGTAACCGATCAGCAAGTTCCACCATAAGATGGCCAACATTTTCAGCCCCAGCTGTGTCCTTCACATAGTCTTTTGGGTTAGCCCTTCCTATCTCTCTAATGAGAGAAATAGCCAGGCTCCCATCAGCGTACTTCTTCTCAGCATCAGAAACCGCATCAGCAATATGAGTAACAACAAAATCATACTTATGAACTAGGTGCATGATCGAAGCACATGATTGTGCCAAGTAATGGTATTTAGTAGCACAAGCCCCAATTATACGACAGAGAGCGCATTTTGTTTCAGAGTCTTTCAAAAGTGTGGCCTTTTCAAACAAAGAATATGCATTCCTGGAAGAACTTGAATTAGAATCTCTCAACTAAAATATCAACACAACATAAGAAAAGGGTTCAAGGAAACTTGATCAACTAATTACCTCAACTTACCTCGTAATGAAAGAAACATAATTTTCATCCAGGTCTGATGAACCAAAGAGCAACACGAGGTTAATCTCTAATGAATTGGCAATTAAATTTAGTATGCGGCCCCTCTGTAGTTCCCAGTTCCACGAGTTTATCGGACTTTTCTTTCTCGAACTCGCAACCACCTAAGGCCATGACCACAAAACTTAATTATGTTGGGAGTAAATAGTGAAAATATTATACTTAAATTATTACACATACATGATACATGCGTATGAACAAACAAATAGAGATAAATACATAGAGTGAGCACCTTTGAGTTGTTATTAGAGCTAGTGTTCGACTCCTCAGCAAGAATGACGCTGAAGAGAAAGAATGTGTAGATTTTAAAAGCATTTCGGTGTGACCCAACTCGAACAAGAACTTGAGAGTCGCCATCCTCACCTTGTGAAAGGCGAGAAACCGAATCAACATTCGGAAGAAGAACACTGAGATTCAATCGGAGACTCTCAACAAGGTTGAATTTACAAGATGGGGTAAGACTGGAGAAACCATGGACCAATGAGTATAGGCGATCAAACACATCTTGCTCTTCCACACAAAAGAGCTCCTTATCGGACAGGTCAAATGACACACCTATTGGAAACACAATTCCGGGATCAGATTAAAATCAGAAGATACTTCACTATCGACCAAAGCAATTCTTCTCTAATATATGATAAGGAAATTGATTACAAAATCCAATTGTTAGCTTTACTGATGGACATTCTAGCTAGATGTGGAAACGCCTCTCTAGCCTGTAAGCAAAGAGCAGTAAGCAAAAATACAAACTTCCACTTAGCTGATGTATATCTTTCTCATTTCCAAGTTTCAAAATATAAGTTATTATTTTTTTATTTCCACTTAAATTTCATTCTTTTTCCACCCACATTCCATCACCAACAAATGAAATTAGCAGTTTCCTAGGTTTTCTCACAGAAAGAATGGAAAAAAAAAAGATAAAATAAATTTCCAAGGGAGAAAAGTAAAATTGACTTCATAACGCGAAATGAATAAAGAAAACAACCAATCTCTAGTGGTCCTCTTTTCCAAAATTTGTCTATCCCTAACTAGTTTCTCGCATGTTCTCGGTAATCAAACAGAGCTCTTGGGCGAAAAATTCTTAAGACTCATAAAGTTCAGAGAGAGAGAGAGAGAGAGAGATTGACAATCGTGAAGCGAAATGCAAAAGGGGAAAAAAACTAATTTGGAGTGGTCCTCTTTCCAGTTTTTCTCATTTCATTCTGTTAGGTATCAAGAGACGGCAAAAAACAGTACAATTTCTCTAAAAATCTTCCTCTGTTTTCCAAAATTCCCGCATTTTCTCGGTAACCAAACAGAGCCCTAGGAAAAGGAAAAAGAGGTAGAAAGGCTAACCTTTGACGAACTCTTCGAGTTCGGAAGGGCGAAGAGAAGCGATGTCGATGGGATTCTGAGCACAAAGACGATTGTCTTGGTGGTCTTCTGCCAAATCTCGAAGCGTTCTGGGGAAGACGAAGCGAGGAGCCATGAGAGCGAGGTTCTCTTCTCTGCTTTCTTCTTCTTCTTTTCTTCTTCTTCTTCTTCTTCTTCTTCTTCTTTTCTTCTTCTTCTTCTTCTTCTTCTTCTTCTTCTTCGTTTTCTCTTTCGGTTTGCAGTTTTCTTCAGGTTGGATCTGGTTTCTGTACTCGTTCCTCGATTTAAAAAATTCAAATCAAACTCGAAAAGTTTGGGAGGAGCGGGAATGTGCGCCCAAAATAGATGGGCCGGGTCCCGCGAGGCCCATTACAAGGATATTGCTTCGACAACGAGTAGTGAAAAGGGAAAAGGGGTGAAATTGTATAAGGAAAAAAAATCAGAAATATCACTCTTAAAATGGTAAAAAAATATTATTTATGTCATTTTATTCAAAAATAAATAATTATTATTTAATTGATAAAGAGAAAAAAAAAACTATAATAATATTTAATTATTTAAAATGGTCTAAATATTAAGTCAGTACAAAACTATAACAAATCATGTACTTTTCTAATTGTTGTATAATATAAGGCTGAATAAAAATTTGAGTTTAATTACATATATGTCTCTTAGGAGATAAAAAAAAAATCCATAAGTTGTGACAATTACACATAAGTCTATAATAAAGATAAATATTCAGTATCGATAGAAATATCGGTACTCCAGATTTATGTTAGTGTCACTTTTTTTATCACTCTCTTTGTCACTTTTTGCATTCATTACTTGACACGTAAACTCTACTATCTCATTTTCTGTTAAAATAATAATATATCATGTTAATGGAGTATACATGTCAAACAATGAATGTAAAAAATGACAAACAGAAAACATGACGCTAACATTTTTCTTTTCATAAAATTTTGGTAAATTTAGGAGAAATTTCAGGAAAATTTCAAAAAGTTTCAAAAAATGGAGAATGTCAGCCGTAAAAACTATTTTTCTTTACTTGACTTTAGCATATTTTCATGAGTTTACGATCGATGAATTTGGGATCTAATTACAGTAACTTTTATAGCGAGGCTACTCAAGTTTATTATATATATAATTATAATTTTAGAAATTATGATGGATATGGAATTTTTAGTTATTCTCATCAAAACATATTAGTACCATCTCAAGCAAACGAATAGGAGAATTTGTAATTTTTCATTCATGATTGGTTTCACATATGGCATTTCACGACTGATTGCTAATAATTTTCCTTATTAATGCTCATTGTTGAGTGTTTTAAGTGTAAGAATTTTAAGAACACTGTGATAGGAATAACAATGTTTGGATTGGGATTAGAGAAATACCCATTTTACTTCAAATTATACAAGCAGTATTAAATATACCAAATATGACAATGTTTAGTGAAAAATAACCTAGTTAATATGGATATGTTTTATTCAATCTTTATTATGATCGTGTAGAAAAAAAAAATCATCTCAATTGGAGCTTTTATAGCAAAATTATGACATTTTAAAAGATATAAACATTATTTTATATCATATTATGCATGTAGTACTATATTTATTAAATATGACAATACTCAGTAAAAAATAACATGATTAATATATATCTTTTTTTGTTCAGTTCGTCATTACGAATATATAGAAAAAAATCATCTTAATATGAAACCTCACAGTAAAATTATGAATTTTTTAAAAAAAATAATTGTCATGATTCTCCAAAAATACTGCCGCAACACATTTGCTAGTTCAACTAAAACAAACTGTTACTTACAAATAAGAACAAGTTACAGTGTCCTTTTGGTGAACCCAAAAATGCAATTTTATGAATTAAATAAATGGTAAAATATCACCTCAAATATTTATTGAATAGATGCTCAACAAACCTATAATAACCGGTTTCCATGTCCACGTGCAGAAGTTCTTTGACTTCCTGCAACACCAACATGCAAGACTTCTTACCACTTGCATGCTCCAAACCAATAAGAATTAGCCACGTCCGGCATGACGGAAACGGTGGCCGATCGCTATCCAATGCCTATTAAAAGAGCAGAGATGTACACGGGTTGGGTTGGTACGAGATATAATTTTTTCTTGTCCCGTCTCAAAAGGTACAGGTTGTACATATTTAGACCCAGCAATATTAAAAAAAATTTACAACCTAATAATGTTTGGGTTAGGTTGGGATGGGATAGAGTGAGTTGGGTGGTCGGGTTCATCATTCAAAGAATCAAAGTTCAATCCAACACTGAAATTTCATCATCACATAAATAATAACTCCAACATTCAAAGTTTATCATCAAATAATATTGATCATCAAATAAAAATAATACTGATAATCAAACATAACTTCAACATTCAAAGTTCATCATCAAATATAAATAATACTAATTAGTCCATCATCAAATAGATATCAATTCAAACTTCAATCCAACATCAAACATGCATGAAGCAAAGTAGTCCATCAAACATCCAACATAAAGCAAATATAAATTAAAGGCTTAATTCAAATCCATCCAAAACAAGTATTGTCATAACAGTCATCCTTATCAGTCCACACTCATAGACTCCTTATCAGGCATGTTTGTACGAATTGGGTTGGGGTATTTGAGTTATTATAGACGCAACTCATAAACCGCTCCAAACACCTCAAGTTAAAAATTTAATGGACCAAAAAATAAAAAATAATGTTATAAATTACCTTTTTCAGAATGAATTTGAGTGAATAAATTGAGTTTGCAAGTTGTTTGGGTTTATATACAACCCTATAAAAAGCCCATATTGGTTCTACTATTCACCCATTGTCGTAAAAAATTCACCGTTTTTGGTGCTTTATATTAACTCTTTCTTTTTCGTTTCCTAATTTTCCTCGATTGTTTTCTTTTTATATACATGCATATAAATATATTTTCATCCTCTTTCTTATTACATCTTAATGCAATTGTGTCGGTAAGTTTTTAAAATATTAATTAAACTCTTCTCTAACTATTTTTATTAAGTTCTTTATACAACAGTATAGATCTATTTTTTATTTTTCTTCTTTTTTGGTTATTGTTTTTTTTTTTTTTTTTTTTTTTTGTTTTTTTTTTTTTTTTTTTTTTTTGTTTTTTTTTTTTTTTTTTTTTTTTGTTTTTTTTTTTTTTTTTTTTTTTTGTTTTTTTTTTTTTTTTTTTTTTTTGTTTTTTTTTTTTTTTTTTTTTTATTTTGCAGTTGAATATAGGGACTTTATACATTTTAATCTTTAATCTTAAACCCTAATCCTAACATGTTAATCTTAAATTATATTCTTATCTTAATTTTGAGTTCTGATCCTAAATCATAATCTTAAATGTATAAAAGAGTGGATAAGAGGTATACGGTTCATTTTTTATAGTCCTCTACGCATTGTTTTGGTGCTTATCTCTCTTTGTCCTCTCTGTCTTCTATATCTCCTTTATTTTGTTTTAACCTCTTATTATCTTTTTTTTTTTTTCCTCTTGTTCTATGATCTATTTAATAAGTGGCTACTGTTCGTTCAAAATGGTGAATTTTAGGTTTTTTAAGAGACGTTTGGTTTATGGATTAGAATCATGTGATTAAAATTATTTTTAATTTACGTGTATTTTTTATGAGAGAAAACATTGTAACGAACCATAAACCATGATTCAAATTATAGTTTGAATCCTCCAACCAAACGTCCCCTTACTTTCTTCCCTTTTATTTTTAATTTTCAACTCCTCTACTTTTTTATTTTGTTATCTTATTCCTTATATATATTCATCGTATGGTACTCCAAGACGGTGATTTTTAGGTGTTGTACCTTTTTTTTTCCTTTTCTTTTCAAGTTTCAACTCCTTTTTTTTTATTTGTTATCTTATAATTTTTAATGTTTCATTATTTTCGTGATTAAATGCAACTTTTTGACTTAAACTATTAATGTATAATTTTTTTTTTTTTGAAATTGGTTATGGGGGATTCAAATTCTATACCTTTTAATGGCTTCAGTTGTAAAATTATTATTAAGGCATGCATGCTAACACTTAACATTAAAATGCATACTAGTTTGAATAAGCAAGATCTTTCTTCTATTTTTTATGCATATTGTTGTCGCATTTTACGTTATTAAAATTCTAAAGTACAACTTAATAGGTGCAATGCACGCGCTTGATAACTCTATATGAAGTAGAGTTATTTTACCATGTGAGGACGAAGCATATCGACGTGAGGTATCACTTTGTGCATGAATTAAGTTTTAAAGAAGGGAAGATACTGCTTGAGAAGATTGCGACATTAATAAATCTTACAGAAAATGTGACCGAGGTGGTGATAACATCAAGTTCAAACACTACTTGGACTTGATTAACATCCTGCGAGCTTGAACACCGTCGTGTGTAGGCACTGTTGAAGACACTAAGACTTCTCATTCTTTTTTATACATGGGCATCACCATTTTCCTTTTTTAAAACATTTCTTGATTTTTTTTTCTTTTTTTTTTTCCAAAGTTCCTATACAGTTTAATTTTGTTTACAATGCGTTTATTTGAAATACGTTTTTCATCACTTTACACTTATTAAAATAATTTATTTTGAATATATCTCTTTTTTTCTTCTTAAAAGCTATTATGCTTTACATATGCTTAGTATTGATGGCCCTAAAAAATCTGAAAACTTTTGTTTTATATTTAAAAATATAACCGTTTCAAATATAGTTATCTAAGAATGACATCGGTTTTTTTTTATCTTGTAAAGAATGGTTTTTATGTTTTAAAATCTGCCTTTTAAACTTTTTCATTTTTCTTGAAGGGTTCTTTACGACGTTTTTTGTACAGTATCATTCATGATTCTACTCAATTTGTGAAAAAATCTCTTGGAATTTTATCTCAATTTGTAAAAAAATCTCTTAGAATTTTCTTTTTAGCGTTCTAGGTCCAGTCAAAGAGTTTCTCACTTTCCCTATATTCTATAATCAATTCCGTTGACAGACCATATTAATAAAATGATGCTCTTTTTTTGTTCTCTCAGTTTTCGCTTTTTTTTTGTTTATTTAATTTATTAAGTATATTTTAGGTATTTTAGGCAATATTTATGTGTGGTCCATAATTAATAAATTGTTT